TTATTAGAATTCTTTTCGAAATTTAGTTTTAACAGCAATTAATATTTGTTGCATACAAAATATTGCTAAGTGAAGACTAAAGACTTTCCATCAATATAATCATTATTATAATTTATGAGTTGCTCGCAAAATATTTTAGATGCATATTGCAGTTAAGAGATATAGATATATTTATCTATTTACATTTATTTTGATGATTTCTACCTGATTCATTTTTATCTGATTTATTTTTACAGCGAAGTATAAATGTTAATTATAATATTAGTTTGTGTTACAAGAAAGAAGAAAATATTATAGTAAACACACATTTAATTGAATTGTTAAATGTATATGTAAAACTGCAATTTTAGTTAAAGTTAATTTAAAAATAATCACTGTTATATGTAACTAATGTGTCACAAAGATTTACATGTTTGTCTCTCTCTCTTTCTCTCTCTCTCGGAATTTTATTAAGAATATTGAGATTAAATATTGCATTCCAATTGATTGAGATGAGTTAGCATTCATCATTCATTTATTATAATTATAATCGGCATACATGTTTAATATATCTTCAACATGATTACATAAATTAGAGAAATCTTGTCATTTATATTGATCACCTTTTCATGATCAATACATTTTCGATAAATTTGTATTTGTAAAATCCTAGAGGCGATACCAAGGAGAAATAATTTTCGATCGAATGATTTATACTTTGATAAATAATAGAAGTATCAATTACCAATGTATTAAAATTTTTTTTAGCATGATAGATATATGTAAATCTTGTGAACAGAAGCGTACGGCAATGCTAATATCGATTCTTCGCTTTCACAGTGTTTAAGCACACGATATAAAAAATGACGCACAAAATTTTTGTTTCTCATATCGTCATGATAAGATCATAACGATAAGAACAAAATAGGAAATCATATTTTATTATTATAAGAAGTATATTGACTAATTGTAAGAATTTCTTAATTTAAGAAACATTCACAAAGTCATATGTTTTTATAGCACACGTATCGTTATTAATCATTTCATGTAATCTCAGTTAACCAACATTCCGATCTATAAGATTCTATATAATATGAAATTTATCTGCTTTTATAACTGAAGTATTAAATATGACTTTTCTTTAACAATTCTAACTTTTTCTAATACTTTCGACATAACGTTTGAGGTATCCGAAAATACCATACTATTAATCCAAATTTTTTGGAATGATAAGGAAGACAAGGATAATAAATTGTAATCACATAATCATCGTGTAACAAGTATTATATAATCATTATAAGAAATTTACTAGTCACAGACTAGAGCTTATGCAAGTAAAGGTACGAAAGACCAATATAATATTAAAAATAATATTAGAAATCAAAAATTTTCTAATAGATTTTCTATTGCAATTCTACAGACATTTCTAGGCATCTCTGTATTAGCAATAATCACAATACAACATTTAATGTTTATTTGAAATGGTAATATTTTATATTTCCATAATTCATGTAATTTCTCTGCCTCGACACAGTGTTTATTTCTCAATATAATTGCATTGCCAATTTCAAGAAATTTTTCAGAGTCATTTTGAGAGAATCGGAAAACACAGAGAGAGAATTATTCATTTTAAAAAATCGATATAAAAACAGATTTTAATTAAGAGCAAGATAGCGAATTATAAGCCAATTATTGATTCATAAAATATCTTACAAAGCACAGAAATATTTTAACGCATTGTTATTACTTAAACTTTGCAGAGAGAGAAAATTATTACTTTGCATGTAATGTTGTTGATATTTTATATTAGTATCAAAGATTTTTATATTATCACTATTGAATATCTACAGTGACATTTATTTATTTAAATAATATTTATAGAAGTGCTTTCAAAAATAAATAGCATATTATAATTATCAATGTGTTCATGTGACATCGTGTCGAGTATTCAGGAACAATGTATAGTTTATCGTCATAAATGACACATTTAGAATAACCTATTTATGTCTGTTATATATGTGATCGCTTTAATAAATATGATATAAATAATCCATAATTTTCTTTGATGAATTGATTACCTTATAGATAATCAATAGATAATTATTATTATAGATTTATTTAATATCTATAGTATACCGAATATGAAAAGTAGAGTGTATATATATATATATATAAAATAAAAGAAATAGTGCAAACTGATTATTAGTTTTTTTAACTTCGAATTTTGAAAGTAAATCGAAGTGATACTTATATGCTTGTGTGTGTATAAATGACGTATATTATGCCTATATATTTCTTTAATTATTTTTTAATATCGGTAATTTTAATATCATTCATGAATTGAATTTAAAATACTTGATATATAATTGATTATATCATATATAATTACAATACTATGCGAAATAGTTTGTGCATTATTTGTTCATTGTGTGTATGTGCGCGCGTGAGAAGAGGAGGGGGGGGAGAGAGAAAAATGAATGTACGAACACTAAATTATATCATTCAATTTGAAACAAATTTATTACACACGCGTGCACACACACACACACACACACACACAATAAATTCATTTAAAATTAAATGCCACAATTGAGTTTTTCAACGCAAACATATTGGAAAATAACTTATGTCTTACTATGTAAGTTTGTTACAATATATAATAAATGGATATTTTTCGCACATTTGCACAAAAAGAACATCACAGTTAATTTATTTTGTATATAATACGTGCTTCCTAGCTTGTTAAAAACTTTTGGCACGCAATTTTGTTTTAATTCGCAATAGTTCATTATCATACGTGATATAAAAAAATTCGATATTTTTTCAATAATATTTTGTACTTTAGTACATCCCTAAGAATAATTCCTTTTACGAAAAATATACGTTATTTTATTTTATTTTTCATTTTTTTTATTTGTGATTTTTGCGTGACAATAAAGTAAGCACTTGCACATATCACTTCAATCTACAACATTCCAGTTTGCATACGGAATATAAGAAACAGTGTGATTCACTGTCTGACTTCATCCTTATCATCTAATTCTTCCGCTCTTTGACGTGCTTTCTTTAGTACTTGTTTGAGCTCTGATGATCGGACTGTTTTATACTAAAGAAATTTGAGAAGTATTATAAGTATTACGCAGAATTTTCTTTTTAAAATATACTTTAACTAAAATATACTTACCTCACATTCATTTTTCGCTAAAGTTAATTGTCCGTTGAGTCTACTTCCTTCGGATAGTCCGCACAATTGTTCTAGCCGCCGTCGCGATA